CGCTTCGCTGGTCCCATGGCCTTCTCTGGCCCCAACAGGTGCTTTTTTTTTTTTTTCCAACTCTTTGCTACAGGGCACATGCAATTGCCAGAGAGAGAGCGAGCGAGCAAAAATGAGAAGTCACTTTGGGGGGTGGCCACACTACAATCCCTTCTCCATTTTCCTCTCGTGATTCTGGGTGTACTCGTGTCCAGGGTGTTTTTCAAGCTGTTGAGTCTGGGACTTGAACCATGTAGTTGAACATGTGGGACCCAGTCACCATAACCAGGATGCCACAGGCTAGTTCCCATAACCGACGTCGGAGTACCACCTGTCACATGGCTGTGGGGCCATGAAGTGGTGAAGCTGCCATGCAAACGGCTTGGCAGAGTCTTGCGGGGTTAAACACACAGTCACCGTATGACCCTGCAACTGTACCCCTGGTTACACCCCTGAAAAGGAAAACATGTGCCCACAAACATTCAGAGCAGAGTAACTTGAATTGCTAGGAAGTGAAGGGACCCATGTGTCCGTCACATGATCTGGCACCCAGCCTGAAGGCGTGAAGGACTGACCCACGCTGTAGCCCGGATGAGCCCTGCACACACACATGAGCACGTGCTGAGAAAGCGGTCACGCAGAGGCCGTGTGCTGATGCCACGTGGCGCAATGTTCAGGACAGGCAAAAGCTGGCTAGCAGTCACCCGGGACTAAGGGGAGGCGCAGAGCGACTGGAGGGCTTCCCTCCTTGGGCTGGTGGAAGTGCTCCAGAATCGGGCAGTGGTGGCTGTGGCACAGCTCTGCGGACTTGCTAGGTACCGCGGAGCAGGACACTTTAATCAGGTGGGCAGCTGCGAGCCACACTCGACACGCAGTCAGGGCACGAGCCCGGGCAGCCTGCCCGGAGGTGTGGGTCGCTTGTGAACTTTAGCCTGGGCTTGGGTGTGGCCGACAGGTACTCACAGCTGCAGGGCTGCCCGCCTGAGAGGGTGGGCTAGCGGAAGCACCTACAGTGTTTTCCCTGGCTGGCTCCTGGCACCTGCTGGCAAAGCATGAAGTCCTGGACCAGGAAACTTCCCTCGGCTCAAGCAGGTCCCCACTGCCACTTCCAGTGCCCATGCCCTGCTCGCCCGTGGCTGGCATCATGGCCAGTGTGTGGGACTCGCTGCCCAGAGCCTACCCAGCCCCTACCCTCAGGGCAGTCCAGGCAAGTGCCATGCATGAGAAGTCCAGACTGGGCAAGGGGGACAGCAGTGTCCTGGCAGGGCTTCCCATCCCCTACACAGAGGACAGCCTTGAAGAACTAACTGCCCCCTTTGCCCATGCCCAGCTCCAGCCCTGGGGCAGTCTCCACCCCCGCAGCCCAAGCTGTGAGTGCAGACGCCAGTCAGGTCTCCATGCCCCAGGCTCAGCAGAGAACCCTGGAGCAGGTTGCCGGAGGCTGAGAACCACGGTTGGTCGGCAGTTGTAGGCTGGGGCTGGCCGCCTCAGCTCTCTCCCTTGAAGGGGCAGCGTCAAAAGAGGCGTGGGCACTGGGTGTGACACAGGACGGGGCTCAGAAATGGGGGCCCTCACGGAGGACTCAGTACAGGTACAATGGCTCCCGGGAACAAGCCTCTCGTTGTCCGCTTTCCACCCATGTGGATGGAGGTTGGGAACAGCCCTCCCAGAGCTGTCCCTGGGCTCGTGGCTCACTGCCCTGGGTAGAGAGGCCACGGTCCCCGGCTGGGGATGGTTCCATCTCTACGACGTCCACTTGGCTTTCATCTCTGCCTCTGCGGCGACAGCTGCAGGGCCGCCCTCCCATCCAATGCCAGGGTCTGCTCCCGTCCCATCGGCCTGGTCTCGTTACCCACCCAGCTGCAGTGGAAGCTGCCCCGAGTGCCCAGCAGGGTCTGGACTTGAGAGGCTCCCCGGCGGCCCCCACGGGGCACCC